TGGTATCATGAATTGTCCACACGCAAAGGCTCTACACTCACACTTAAGAGCATGCGTGATGACTTCGTGTTTCTTTTTGGTGATGTGCACCGTGACACTCCCCACTATGTACGGGCACAACTGCTTGCCGGTGCTCATGCAATGAAACCTGGTGAAGCTATCCCACAATATGTGCAGCGGTTCCGAAAAATCACTCGTGTTGACCCTAACATGTCCCAAATCGACTTGTGCACCTGGCTTGTATGTGGAATGCTGCCACGACTGCGTCGGGAATGTGCTGCAGCTGTCTACAGTGATCACTGGAATACCTTTGATGCACTTGTCGCATTTGCCCAAGGTGCACAATTGCGCCATGAGTTGGGCAAAGTGCAAACTGCACACCTTAATTTCCAAGGCACTGATGATGGCCCCATGCAATTCGGACAAAATGGTGGCCATGGAGCTCATACCCACTGGGGTGGTCACAACAGAGGCAGTGGTGGTGGTGGTAGTGCCAATGCATTGGCACCATATGGTGGCCGTGGCTGTGGCAGCGCCAGCTTCGAGATACCAAACTGGTTGCGTGAACTGGCCAAAGAAAAGAATGTATGCTACCATTGTGGTCAGCCATTTGGCAAGGGCCACCGCTGTGGCAAGAGGCCACGTTACAACAATGACGCGGATGCCTAGGAAGTGGCCCACATTGTAGCATCAGGCAGCTCACATGGGAAGCCTATGGAGCTTAAGGAGCTAACTACAACCCAGTGCTTCCACCTACAGTGGACTGTGGCCATGTTGTGCTTCACTCAGTGCTTTTGCATCTGCAGAAGGCCGGCCTTGGGTCGAGTGTTCACATTTGACTCATCTTGTAATGCAAACAGTGAAATCGCCTTGTCCTAAATTTGCCCGCTCCAACTCATTCACTCTGCACAACCTTAGTGGAAAGCATATCTGGTGCAATGGTCCAGTCGATTGTGTGGTTCCTTGGCGTGATTATTACAGCACTTGCATACGGTGTGCTCCTGACACAACTAGTGCAGTTATTTTGGTGCCCATGTATGCCAAGCTGGAAGCAGAGTTACTCAAAGAGTTTGCAAAAGACTCTGCATCTTCTTCAAACCTAAACCTAGAGGTGGTTGCACCAGGTCCCCAACCTGTACTGGCGAGTTCCAATGTTGGCTTGACATCTGTCGGGAAACTGCTTAGTGTTCTGCGCTAGAACCTCTTGCCGACAGCTCCACGCTGCTATTGCTGTGCAACTTTGCGAGCACCAAAGCTGTCGTGCACTTTGTTCCTCAAGCCCTGCACCCACACGTTTTTTGGGCGGGGCCCCAGCGTGAAGCGCCCAGGGGGGCCCCCACCCTGTAGGATTGCCCATGTCCATGTGGCCGTGTGGCCGTGTGTGTGTAACGGACCAAACATAATACCGCGCCAAGCTGAAACGTGTTACTGGTAATTCTCTATTGCAAGGTATCTTGCCTGTAGCCAACAAAAATCGTATGAGCAAGTTTGGCTGCCTTCATTGACCGAGGTCAAAGTCACATCAACGCCTCTCGCGTTAAATTTAATCTCAAAAGGTGCCGTGTATCTCATTTTTGAAGTCTGAGATGACGGCTTATGATATCTCGAACACCCAGCTTGCGTTACCACTTGCCCGCACGGCATTCCGACTTGCCACCAGCAGGCCGACAAATTTGCTTTCATTTCTCTATCAAGTACACAAGCGGCTCGTTTTTAAAATTACTTTGGCCAATATTGGGGCCTCCGAAGACTTGCAGCGCGCCGCGATGAAGCTCGCGGCTGTGGGGCGGATTGCTGAAGCCGCTGGCGCTTCGGGGATAAACATCACAGACAGCACCGGAAAGTGCTGAGGGCTTTGGGGAAGTGTGCCGAGCTAGGCTTTGAGGGATTGCGCCCAGGGTGCGCCCGAATGGGCAGGTCAACACCTGAAGGCGTGCTGTAGGCAGTGTGTACGGTGCTGTACGGCGCTGTTTTCCGTGTGTATTCGGGCTGGGGCACCAGACCGCAAGGCCAACAGGCTGAAGGCTGCAAGCTGCGATTGTATCTGCTGAGTGTTGAGCAGCCGGCCCTGGACCGCGGACTTGGCGGCCGAGCCCCTGCTGTGTGCAGGTAGCGGCACCTCAGACTCATATGATGTGTGAAACAGGGGGGTGTATCGTCGCCCGTGGCAGCTACCCTGCGAAACCCTGCCTTCCCCGGTATTTCGGGGCACCCTCATCCAGTCACCCTAGTCAACTTCTCAGTGGATCGCTCAGGTTCCGCACCCACCACCAGCATCCAACGGAATCTGCCGGGTCGACAGCGGCCTAACTCCATTCCTGGTCATCTCGCAGATTTACTTTATCCCTGGTCACCACCGGGGCGCAAAATCTTCTACCATTTGAAGGACTTTTTTCCTTAATGGGTCTCGATCCCGGGATTTCCCGGGGGCAATGGTTGCGCCTTACCAGTAGTGCCAAACCCTAGTAAACCATATGTTTATACCCAAGTAAGACGCTCTTGCTGTCAGGTTGCGGACCCCGCAAATACGTGTAACGGCCAATGACTCTTAGCCGTGTCTGCTAGGTTCCAGAGAGACACCGCCTCTTCAACAGATTATGAGCCCCGGCTTCCTGCCTCCCGCGATCTGACAAGCATACCTCCCACAGCATCAGCACTGCTGCAACAAGCACAGCTCCCACCACGTTGACAATACCCATCAATTGTCACATGTGCCGCCCTAGCTATCGGTCTGTACGGATGCAGGGGGGCCCTTTTTCCCCCGCCCTTTTTCCGGCTTCGATGAAGCCGACACAGCTTGTTCAGTTCCCTTGTTGTGTGCATGTGTGCGGCCCAGTTCCCATGCTGTGTGCCCACGTGCGTTTCGGCATTTCACCGTTACACTGCCTACATCTAACGAGGACTCAACAATTGTCATTTTAGGAAATGATGAACACATCCTCGTGCGCTTTTATTGGGCCTTCGCCTTCTATGGCGTGGCTTATACCCTTTGGACCCTGGTCCCGGCTGTGAACCAGTGTGCTGAGCAAGCTCATCAGGATACTAAAGACCTGGGGATCCCACCTCCCCCTGTCCCCTGCCGCACAGGAGGAGCTGTCAGTTAGCAGCGCCTGCGTGCACTTTGGTCCTCAAGCCCTGCACCCGCGTGCACGTCAGTTCATTTGTTGTGCACCCGCGTGCACTTCATCACATCGTCTGGTGGCCACGAGTACTGGGCCACGAGTACGACTTCTTGGAGTCTGCAAAGAACTGCAATCAACGATGCCCAGAGGCAGTCCGCACAGACCATGGGAAACTGCACGCATAAGGTGTGCCCCTACCCTCTACATCCACCTCACTCACGGCGCCCCGAGGACGGGTTCGCAATCAGGGGGAGGGGGATTGTAACACCCCTCAGGCAGCCCTTGGCGCACCGGGCCAACGGTCATCATCCGTAACGACGGTACACCTAAGAATATTTATAAACTTCCAATACCAAACGGTACTTATGAATACCAAAACTATCGTTGGATAATGTATCGTCGTATCTCGCTGTGCAAACTGCCGAGCTTTGTTACAGTTGCAGGTTACAGGTGCAGGTAGTTGTGCACCGCTTCGGCTCGTCCCGTATCGCGGCTCAGGTTCATGAAAGAGGACGTATACATATGCATACAGACGCACACATAGAGGCGCACACATACAGACATACAGACACACTGTTGTGGTAGTGGTGGGGTGATTGCGGCGGTGATTGTGTCCTATCATTTCATGGAGGTGGTTTCTTGAGTCGGTTTTGGTGTATGTGTTTTGTGTCTAGTGCTGTGTTTTATTATTGGCTTTTACTCAATAACTCGATAATGAAGTTGTCGTTGTCTTATTGGTGGTGGCGGCGGTTGTGGTGATGGTGGCGAGTGTATGTAGTGTTGCAGCACTGCTCATTACATATGTACGCATGTCCGTCATAACGAGAAACTGAGAAGTCCGATGCTTCCACAATGTGATGATAAAAACTTACAACAGCCCTGTAACAATCCTTAAACAGGCGCGCAGCTGCACCCGCATAGTCGCATTTCCCACCCCCCTCTCCCACTCCAGTCCTGTTCATCCTCCACGACCAACACGTCCACGGGGGGAAACCCAGCTTTCTCCCCTTCGTAGCAATCGCCCATCCCAACTCCCACACTTTTGCGCACGTACACACACATACATACACACACATGCATACACACACATGCATACACACACATGCATACACACACATGCATACACATACACACACAGACTCCGTACAATCAATCACTGTATCCAACCCGCCCCAGTACGAAGGAATGTCCTCACGACCCCGATGCCCCCAACCAAAATGTTTTTCGCCATTCCCTAAGCAGCAGCCAACACAACAAATCGACAAAAACAACTTTTTTTATTCAGCAACGCTTTCACCAACCCTAAGTCAACCATACAAGTTCAAAAAACGACCTTATGCAATCCGCTGGTCGCCGTACCGGGCCCCACGTCCCCCTTCCCCCATCCCCTCTTCCCGCCGCAATACACACACGACGTGAGGGTCGAGCGAGCCTCACCCGACCCGCGGTAATGGAGTACGGCAGAGGTGATCTCTTCCCTAATACCCGTACCATCCCGTGTGCGCATACACCCCCGTACCGTGTGTGTGTGTGTGGCATGCATGCGGGCTTCGCGTGCGTGTTCCTAACACATGACAAGTGAATCGCTCCTCACCCTCCTCACCTACACAGTCCTTCTCCGACCTCCTCTCTGCCGGCCCCACCCCCCCTGGTGGCAGACAGCCCGTGTGTGTTTTGCCTCCGGCACCTACTCCTCTGCACTGACTAGGTGGAAGCAGCGGCCGCCTCCGCCACAGCTTGCAGATTGCAGCTGCCCGCCACACCCCTCCGCGGATCTGGCTATGTTCCCTTCCCTCCCCCCCTAAACCCCCTCCCCCGCTCCCCCTACCCCTCCCGCAGGTCCCCCTACCCCCTCCTCTCCCATCCCCCCCGTAAACCCTAGGACAGCACCTCCCTCACCACCGCCTCCGCCGCCTCGCGCTTCATCAGCCGGGGGGGCTCCGAAACCCGGACCTCCTCCACAGCCGCGGACAGCCGGGCCGCCAGGGACAGAGCCTCCCGGTCGTCAACCTGCAGCGCGTGCGGATGTATGTATGTAGTATGTATGTGTGTATGTGTCTGTGTGGCCATATGGATAGGACGGAAGACGCGTCCGTTGGGATGGTTAGGGGTTTAGGGTGAGCAGTGGGATGCACGATAAGGCAGCGGATACGGCATCGGTACGGCATTACGTACGGTTCAGGTAGGTAAATGATGTAGGGCAGGGTAGGAGGATTTAAGCTCAGCCTTCCCGGCGGCGGCGGAAATGGCGAGGGTTCGTAATCGCTAGCGATGATTGAATTAGGAATAGGAGGGGCACCCGGGAACAAGCCATCACGCACCTCGCCATTCCCGTACATGTCGCGGAGGTCCCGTACATGTCGTACAAGCTCAGACGCGCGTTCAAGCCTTGTCATGTGGTGCTTGTAGTCCGAAAGCCGCCTTCCCGGGTGGCGGAAGGTGGTGGGGAGGGCGGGGGGGGGGCATAAAATGGAGGAGGAGGCCTCAGAAAAGAATGGATGAATGGCGAGCTGGGCGCCCTAGGTGACGGTGACGGTGACGGTGGCGGTGACGGCTGTGACGGAACAGTCCTGTGTGCTTGCGTGCGTTCGATGTACGGCATATGTACGGCAAATATACACACATTTCATGTCACCACGTCGTCACTGGCACGTCGACCAAAATCAAAACCAAAAAGAAAACGTGCCATCCCCCGGAGAGAGAAGGTGGTGAAAGGGCGGGAGAGGATGCCGTACACACCAGTAATAACAATGACTCACTGCCGTACAACCGCTTCATGTGCCGCCATGAGCTTCTCCAGCGTCTCCCTGCTCTCCGCGCTTTCCTCCCGCGCCTCTCGGAGGTCCCCGAGGGCGACTGATAACCGCGCGGCGTGGTCGTAGTCCTGGCCGGGCAGGAGGGGCGTTAGGTGGGGGCGTGTGGGTTTGCCGGTTGGGCCGGGCGGGGGGTGACGAGTGCGGTCCAGGGTTCGAGGAAAATCGATCGAGGGGAAGAAGGGGGGCGGGAAGGAGGGTGTACGGAGTACGCTACCATGCCCGGGGCTACCATGCCCTCCCGTAGCCTCCCCTTCCCCGGCCAGACACATCCTCCCCCCGCCTCCTGGTGTCTTAGACGTGTTTGTATATACACACACACACATACACGCAAACGTGCCAGAACACGCGGCCCATTGTCCCTCCCCTCCGGGGGAATCCAACCCCCACCCTCACCACCACCACCACCGCGACCCTCATCCCCCCCCACTACACACCCCCCCGTACCTGCATCTGCAGCGCCATCTCCATCTGCCGCCGCAGCAGGGCCATCTCCAGACTGGCGGCGCTGGCGAGGGAGTCGGCCGCGGTGAGGTTGGCGGCCAGGGAGGCGGAGTCAGACAGCACCGCGCGATTGGCGAGTCTGAGTTTAGGAGCATGACGGGGTTTGGTTGTTGAGGAGGGGGTGGGGGGGCAGCGGTGACTGATGACTGGAAAGGTAGAGCTAAGGTGGTGAGGTACATTGACATGCCAACATATTGCTGCATCAAACATGCCTGCCCCTGCCCCTGCCCCTGCCCTCGACGAACCCCGAAACCCTCCTTCAAACCTGTCCTGCCGTACTTCCTCCTCCGCCAGCAGCTCCACCTGCCGTACCTCCTCCGCCAGACTCCTGAGCTCCCCCCTCACCTCCGCACTCTGGACCCGGGATGAGAGAGCCTGGACGGGCGGGGGGGGAGGAGGAGGGGGCCGTGCGGGTTGGATATGCCGTACACAGTGTCAGGCAGGTAGATGGATACGGATACAGTCGTACAGACTGATATTCCGACAGACCGACTAACAGGCAGGAGTGAAGACAACATGATGTTATGAATCACCAAGCGCCCGGAGCACAACTGGGAGACAGTGATCCCGGGGAGACAGGACGCGTGGGGCTGAAACCCCCAAAACCCGCCCGATCTAAAACCCTGTTTACCTCCCCCCCGCACACACCCCACCCCCGGGGGACCCACTCACCTTGCCAAGAGTGGCTCGGGCCTCCGTGGCTGTATCCAAGCGCATCTACAGTACGGCAATACGTCAGTAGCGGTTAGCAGTAGCGGAAATCAGTTTTTTTACCAACTCTTATCACGTTTCCAGCACCGTCGGGGCCCTTCCCCCCCTTCCCCCCCTCCCCCCCCTTCCCCCCCTCCCACCCGGAGCCCGGCGAGCTCCCCCTGCAGCCGCCGAATGGTTCCCTCGGCCGCCGCCGACAGAGCTCGTAGCTCGCTGCTCAGCCACAACAGCTGGCTTGCCTGGCCCGAGGGGGGGTGAGGGAGGGGGTGAGGGGGGGGTGCGCGAGCTGCACAAATCCGGAAACAAAGAAAATGAAAAATTAAAGAAGGCTAACGTAAAGGTCTAAAAAAGAAAAATAGACATTATGTGCGGCAAACGTACATGTGCCGGAGACTACGTACTTGCTTCTGCCGTACAGCGCTCTCGACCTCAGCTATGCCGTCGATCTGGTCCTGTATCTCCTGGCTCTTGGCCTCCAGAGCGGCAGCTTGTACGGCAAGCTCGTCCATGCGTGACCGCAGCGTCGCGGCAGTGCCGTACTCGCCACGGCTTGCCGCCGCCAGGCGCTTCTCATCGAGATCCCGCAGCTGCTCCCTGTACGACACATACCCACACACGGCCCACCCGACGGAGCATTGGCTCATGCCCGTGCTGCTTGTCGTTGTCGTTGTTGTTACCGGTAACGGCGGGCGGGCTACCGAGCTATGTCTGTGTCTGTAAGCAAAGAAGCCGAAGAGCTGAAGGGCACATACCCAGCAGGGTTCGACACTGACCTTCCTGAAACTTGCGGGCTCCCCCGTACCTCCCAAATTTTCCTTACGGAGGGGCCCCCGTGCCAGGCTCCTGTACCGGCCGAAAACCTTACGGGGGCCCCCGTAACCCCGCAAAACCTTTACGGGAGCACTGTCCTTGGCTGAAACGCTGTGGAAAGTGACGCTTTGCATTTTTTTGCTCTGTAAATCGTTATTTTCGTTATTTTCTCGTGAACCATTACACTCGGGGACACGGCACACTCAGCGAAAGCCAAGCGCCTTGGCCGCCAAAGGGTACTACAACCTTGCACGGCAGTCGGCAATCGGTCCGTCCTCTCCCCTACGGGGGACTTTACGGGCCCCGTACGGCCTCTTATAAATCCTTAAAATCCTTACGGGGGCCACCGTGAAGTCCTACGGGCCCTTACGGGGATACCGAAAAAAGGCCAAAAACTTACGGGCCCCGTACGGGGTGTCGAACCCTGATACCCAGACGCTGCATGCAACACACTAGGGGACACTGGCGAGCCCGTGTTGCAACACGTGTGTCTGTCCGTGTTTGAATTTCTTAGGAGGGGGCCATCCCCCCCTACCCCCCTACCCTGAAATCGAACTGAATATGTCGCCGTACACAAGAATACGAAAAGAGAGGAGCGAAACCGAGGTATTGTACCGCCCGCCCACCGTATCTCCGCCAGGTGCTGCCGTACAGGCTGTACGGCTTCCTTGGCCCGCTCTTGAAGCTCAGCATTGTGCTGCAGGTCCCGCTCGATGGCCGCGGAGTGTGCTCGGAGTACCTGTACGACGTACGACGGGAAGGAGTGGTGAGCACGCGATACGGAGAAACCACACATGCAACAAGTGATGATACCGATGAAGGGGCTATACGTACATGTACGACAGGATCCACCAGAGCGGCGATGCTGCACGACTGCAGGTCAGGAGGCGGCTCCACCGCCGCCGCCGCCGCCGCCGCCGGCCCTGCTTCCTTGGGCACCCCCTCCGGCTGCTGCTGCTGCTGCTGCTGCTGCTGCTGTCGATGCCGCTGTCGGCGGCGCCGCGTAAGACGAATGCCGAAGTCTTCCGGCGGCGGCGGTGGCGGCGGCGGCGGCGGCGGTGGCTCAACCTGGCTTTGGTCGGAAGGTTGGGTTTGCAAACCCTTCGGGTGTACGGAGATGCTCATGTCCGGGTACGGCAGTCTTGTCCATGCGTCTGCCGTACGGTCAAGCGCCAGAGATAGGTGCCGCCGGGCCTCCTCCTGCAATGGCCGTTAGGCATGCTGTTCGTTGGTCGTTGGGATAGTCACAGGCTGGCAGGTTGTGACCCAAAACCCTAAAACCCGCCAGCCTCCGTCCAGTCTATCACTCTGTCCACCAACCCCGGCCAGCCCTTCCCCCTTCTCCCGGCCCCCATGTACGAGCGAGTCATACCGGTACGGCAGTGACGGGATGCCCCTGACTGTGGGGCACTCCGGTAAGCAGCTCGGAAGAGGGACCTGTCGACACACACACACACACACACACACACACACACACACACACACACACACACACACGCACACGCACACGCACACGCACACGCACACGCACAGGACGCACCGGGCGGGTGGGGAGAAAACAATTAGGTTAGGTTAGGAGGTACGATAGGCAAGGCGGAGGGGGGGACGAACCAGGAGGGAGGGCGGGAGACGGGGCAGGTGTGTAACGACGCAAATGCCAATCTGAGCATCCCGGGTTACGCCTTTGCTGTGTTACAATGGTATCGAGACGGGACTGCACGACTTCCGTAACAAACTTCGGGTCGGCGGTTCGATTCTGGCAACCAGCAAGTCGCAAATTGGCGATTTCATGGTGTAATGGATAAACCAGCGCACTGGCGCGAGGTGGGATGGCTCCTGTGCTCGAAATAATGGCCGAGGACGTCCATTGCTAAGTGGGGGGCAATGTAACGACGCAAATGCCAATCTGAGCATCCCGGGTTACGCCTTTGCTGTGTTACAAGGTGGGTCGATGGGTGAACAGGTGGGGTGCGGGAGGGGGGCAGTTTGCAGGATACATTCAGAAGCAACAGCAGTAGCAGTAGTAAATCAACCGGTGTCCATTTGTTCGTTGAGGTCGATTTTAGATGGTAACCGCTCGCACGGCGAAGTCAGGCAGATAGGTTCTTACCAGCTCCTGGTTGGCTGCCTGGGCTGGGGGTGGGCCGACGGACCTGTTAAGCCAGGCGCGCCCTGGGACTTTAACCCCCTGATTATCATACCCCCCTGGATTTGGATCTGGATCTGGATCCGGATCCAGATCCGGGCTCACCAAATGAGGCCAGAGCGAACAGGATGGGCAGTGAGGCAACCAGCAGCTTTGCGCACCGCTGGCGAAAGTCTGTTCGGACCTACGGACGGTCGTGTGAGGTGAGGGCAACAAAAGCCGGGACCCGCGTAAATCGCGCGACAACGACGACGACAACGATGACAACGACAAAGTTGCAGAGTCAATTGATTTATTTTAAGAGGAAAGAGAATAATAATTCGACCAATATATCAAATCTGGAGCAGGTCCAAAGCGACCTTGCAGCGCAGCGCGCACCGCAGGCTGGGCGAGCGAAACTAGCAAAAGTGAGTATCCAATGTGAATATCCAATCGGAGGTATCATCAGGAGTATCTACTTCGTGTGGTGATGATTCTTAATCTATGTTGGCTCTTAAAACGGCCTTCAGGCGGGGTATGAGCTCATCGCGAATTCTGTCCAAACAGCTCACCGGGCCAAACTGGGTCGCGGCTGCGGCTACGCCGCCTCCCGCTGGTAGCTGAGCGCGGCGATAATACATCCCGTCTCGTCAGCGCTTCGGACGCTGGTGGAGGTTTGAACCTACTTTTTGGAAAGGTAAGGTCCCCAAGCTAGAACTCGCCGGCTGTCCGAGGAGAAAACTTAGGGTGTTTCAGTTCAATATATATCTTTTGCAGATTAAGGCAGATCGATGTGTTGGATGTTATATGTCTTAAAGGGTCAACTGGTAGGAGCTCTGGGGCATGCGGGAATGGTTCCGAAACCAGATGACGCATGCAGGGCATACGTCAACTATTTCCCAAAGACTAACTTATGTTTTTGCTTATTATGGCAAGTCTGGCGTTGAAAATGTGGCTTAATTGTCAATGCCTACATGCCAAAGTCATTTCGGACATGGACAACGAGACGACGTCGTCGACGAAGTCTTGTGTGACTGTTGACAATGGTTCTATTGGCTGGATTATATTTTACGTTTGCCATACCGCTTTTGAGCTCCTGCGTTCGTGTTGTTGCGCGACCGGAAGCGTTTTACCTGTTACACGGGGCGTCGTTGGCCACATGGACAACCTTTGCAAGTAGGTTAACCTATCTGAGATAATCCAAAATTAAACACTCCATGTTTTTGTAATATTAGATACCCCAGCGGACCGGCGAATAGTTGACGCAAATCGTATGTGTCATGTGGTTTCGGAAGCAGTGCACTCAACACCCCTCCCACAGAACCCTTGCCTGTTGGTGTTATTGAGCTGTTGGAAATTAGCTTATGATCTTCCCGACTATTAGATATGGCTGATCCATTAGCAGATGGAGCCTCTGAACGGATACAAAGCGGCACGGAAGCATCTGGCAGCAGCATTCGCTACGTCCAGGTCAGTTATGCTTTATGGGAACAATGATGCCTCAGCTCTTATATAAGCTTATCATGAGGGACATTGTGGACCGACGGCGGCCATAATCAGTTATATTAATTGTTAACAATGACTTACTTGCTTTGGAGCCTCCTTTTCACTTTCTACTCATTCAGTACACGGACGAGAATGACTTGCCCATCGTCATGGACCTCGTGGATAAGGAGCTCAGCGAGCCATACTCCATTTTTACATATCGTTACTTCTTGCATCAGTGGCCCCACCTTTGCTTTATCTCCTATGATGGGGACAAGCCATTCGGCACGGTCGTGTGCAAGATGGACTTGCACAGAGAGCGGATGCGCGGCTACGTCGCCATGCTTGTAGTGGACAAGGCTTACCGCGGGAAACGCGTTGGTAAGTTTTGCAACAAAGGCGCATGTCAGATCTTGGCCACCTGGCCACCCGGAGGCTTGGACCAGGTTATGTTGGATTTGGTTGTTATTGGTGTTTACCGGTGCGTGTTCAGAGCGGGTTGTGATCCTCGCGTTCGGCCCCTCTCCCCGCTTTCCTCGCCTCCCTCTCCACATCCATTCACATATCCACCTCACTGTCCCCATGAAACTCATCATTCTCTCCATTACTCCATCTTCCACCACTTTGCTCAACCCTCCCTCCATCACGTCCCCTGTCCCCTCCCTGGGGCCCCCTTCTCGCTCACCCCCCCNCNT